CAGAACAAAAAGCTTTCATTAAGTTAAAGTAACCAATACAACAATTCAAGCTCGGCATACCAAGCCATTACAAGAGTAGGGAAAGCAAAGAACCCCGCAGCTATTTAATCCTCGGTGGGGGATTCAGCAGCCTCGTCTTCCTCGCCATCTTTGCCATCCTCTCCATTCTCATCCTCGTCAGCCTCCTCTTCAAGATTTTCTGAAGCAGGGGGAGTCTCCAAGTCATACACCTCCCAAGACCGTGCAATCTCGGCCAGCTCTAGATGGTGGCGCAGTGCCCTCCTACAGAATACGTTGAACCCAGTCTTGTAGGAAGCCGTAGCGTACTGATCCATCTCCTACTTGAGCTCCTTCGAGGCCTTGTACTGCGCCACCGCCGCCTTGCTGGCCTCTCGCTTCACTCACTCCCTTTCTGCCTTCAGCTCAGTGATCTCTTGCTTCAGACTATGAACCGTGTTTGCTTGCTCAACCAGATGGGCTTTCAACTCAGCTACCTCCTTCTCTAGTGTGGCCGATAGTTCCCCTGCTGCTTGAAGCTTGGCCAATTGAGCCTTCTACACAGGAACTTGGAATGCTCCGTCTCATACATTTCCTATAGATGCTGGAGGCGGTCGACCAAAGCAATAGCCGAGTACGCATTTTGAGGACACAAGACAATATTAGCATAAAGAAACCTACTCAAAGCAACAAAAGCAATCGGTAACTCACCTGAGCCATAGTCAAATCAACAAACCTCGGAGTGCTCCTCAGATATGTAAGCCGTCATCATACCTCGGAGCAGTTGCTTGGGAACCCCTGGGGTTTCCAGCCCGTCCTTGGTACGGACCGACCAATGCGGAATGTGGATATTTGAGTTGCTGCCCCCAACCCCGGTCTGTAAAGGAGCGATAGCCCGACGAACCTTCATGGGATCTATGACAACTACATCCTCATCATCACTTCCTCATCGCCGAACTCTCTTTTGGCGATGAGACACCCTCTCAGAAGACCTCGGTAAAGGAACCGTCTTGGGGGGAACCTGCGACGGTGCATTAGCTCGGCTCTGCCTTTGCTGATGCTCCCTCGTGCGGCGGATAATCTCTTCCTCAGTTGCCATCTCAACACCTACAGCATGGAAGCAGAGCAATAAGTACAAGGTCATGCAAGCAAGGAAATAAGTATAATTCTATAAGTACGGCAAAGCAATGAAAAGAACAGACTGGCCACCACACGCATCAACCTGGCGAGCATCAACACCTCCGAGCATGTGTAAGCTACCATGTCTATCTCGTGAATCTTGCTCATAGCTAACCTCTCCCCCTACGTGAGTGTCAACCACAGAGGTTGGGGAACTTTCGTCCTCGGCACCTGCAGCGCAATAGAAAGGGAGAACCCTCTAGGACAATGCATGAAGAAGAAACTCTCCTTCCAATGCTTCATAGAACTAGGGGCCCCGATCAACACCTTGACGTTCTTCCTAGTTGAAAAGTAATARTACCCCTGTCGGTGATGCTTTAGCTGAAGAAGAAAGCTCACCATGCCCAGGGTCAGCTCGATGTCACAAACGACGCAGTAAGACATGAGGCCAAACAAAACCTAAAGGAGTTCGGCATCAACTGCACTGGCAATACTCGGTACCACCCAAGCACCCCGGTGATCCCTTCATTCAGAGGAAACCTCAGCCCGGCTTCCAAACTATGCTCATACACACATATCTCGCCGGGCCGAGCATTTCTTGGCATCTCACCGGGTTACGGGACCTCATCCAGAATTCCTCGGGGATATCGTACATAGCTTGGATCTGAGCCATATCCTAAAGGGTTAAGACACAAGGTGTGGTCCCAAACTGATGACCAGCCCTCAGGGGAAGCTCTACCTCTACCCTTGAAGAACCAACCTCGGCAGACTTAGAGTCCTCGACCTCGGCAACCTCAAACTCCCCAGTCCCCGACTCATAGTCAGAATCGCTAGAACTTGAAGAAGAATCAGAAACAGAAGGAGAACAGGAGGATGAGGAAGACATCTTATCAAACTTGAAGCCGAGGAACAAGAGCACACGCCGAGCAATGAAAAAACACCTTGTCGAGCAATTGAAGCAATCCCTCTCGCAAATGACAAAGGAGGAAGGCCCGTCCACCCCTTCTTATAACCCCCAGGAACGCAAATTGATGCCAAATCAACGGCACGGATCAAGCAACGCCCTGACGAAGCTCGAGAAGATCAATCGATGTGACTGCTACTGTACGCGTAAGGCCTYGGGAACCAAGGCAACGACCTTGACAAGCGATGTTCAAAGCATTAATTGCCCTGGTTCGCCCTTCAGCACTGGTCCAACCAATGTCGCAGATGCCCAGGGTTCACCCAGAACCATCGGTCCAATTAACTGCTTGGGCATCCTCAAGACACAAACCAAGGGAGGCCACACTATGCCTCGGCCGAGCACTCCTCTCTTCAACTTCAAAACTGGGGGAGTGGTGTTCGAATTCCGAAACTTCAAGAGCAAGTTCCTCAGCCGAAGAATAGAAAGCTCGGCACAACGTTGTCGAGCATCAGAGAACTCGGCACCTTTCCTCAGCACACCATGTCCGAACATCACAGTGGCCTCTACACCAAAGCTTAGCCTCCACCGGCATCAGAAAGCTCTTCCTTGGCTGAGCTGAGCCCCTGACTCCGGAGCTTGGCACGTCATGGCCAAGCATCACAGTAGCCTCAACACTGAAGCTTGGCCTCCCACTGGCATCAAAAAGCCCTTCCTCAGCCAAGCTGAGCCCCCGACTCCAGAGTTCGGCACGTCATGACAGAGCACCACAGTAGCCTTGAAACCCAACTTAACACCTCGACCCTTCCTCAACATAACATGGCCGAGCATCAAAGAGGAGTCGATGCAACACCGTTGAACAATAGACTCAGGCATAGCTCGGATCAACACCGCAACACCCCGCCGAGCTATGCGACCGAGCAACACGTCAACCGAACACCTCCCTCTCCTTGGCTCCAAAACTGGGAGAGTGGTGTTTGGATTCAGAAATAACAATTCCCGGAGTTCTATAGCCGACGATTGGAGGATTCCTTGGCCATAGCTCACATTGTGTGGATCTCGGGTTCTAGCATGTGCCGAGGAACATCAAGTGGATCAGACACTCCACCAGACTACAAAAGAACTTCAGCTTGGAGTTCCTCAGCCGAGGAACAAGGCATCCTATTGCGCCACACCTCGGCTGAACGCCACATGCCTTGACTTCAGAACTGGGGGAGTGGTGTTCGGGTAATGGCTGAGTTGGTCCAGATAGACACGTGGTCACCCAGTCAGCCCAGCCATGTTGGCATAGTTTGGCCAACTCCGTAGCATTCATTCATTCCACGGCCAAGGTCGGGCTACGCTATTACTATGGCACCCCATCTCATCCTCTCAACCACATCAGCTACATGTCACGCATATAAGCATAACTATGGATAAAGAAGAATAAGGAGGACAACTCTACCAGGGATTAGGACTCTATTCTGAGTACCTCGATGGGGAATCTCATCCGACTAGGAGACGGATCTTCAGCTATAGAAAGGTATTCCATGCTCAAGGTAAGGGATTTCAACTTCTAACACCCATATTGCTATTCTACCCAAACCAGCATCCTTATAGCTCAGCTCGGCCATCCATGACCTCCTACTAACTTGAGCGTCGAAGCACCTACACAGGGATAACTCCTCAGGCCTCTGACTTCTCTTTTCTTGATAACAGGTCTTGAAGTGCAGCCTCGTCCTTGTAACTCAACACTGCCTTGTTGGCAAGGACAATCTGGTTGCTCTCCTCAGTTCATGCACCACCTCGAATTGAGCAGCATCAGATACTATATATATATAAATAATTGATTTGACCATAATATTAAAAACCAATGTCTTAATCATAGCCCAATTTGATGGTTACTGATTATTATCATCATCCTCATTTGGTACTGTCACATTCAAAAATAAATGCAGAAATAAGAATTGCTTTTATTGATGATGAGAATGTAATACATGATTTAAAATCAACTGAAAAAGAAATTGACCAATGTGGGTTAGTGGTTCAACTATCCATATCAAATGGATGAACACATGATGTTATTATTAAATAATAAAATACATAAAATTCTAGAAAATGTGGAAATTTGTAGATAATTTTGAGTACACTCTATAATATTATATATTCATCATATAAAAAAAGTGTGATTAATGAGAATTATTTTCATTAATGATAGAAATGGGATAAAAATTAGGATAAAAAATAAAGAGCATTAATGTCTAACAGATGACCCCACTAACCATGTCAAATGGTTCAATTATTTAATTAGTTAGGTCATTATAGGCAAGTGGTTTGGTAGGGATGCAAATAAATCGAATCGGATTTGAATCAAGGTATATTTGAATTTGATTTGATTCGAAGATCTAATCGAATCTCATAAATATTGATTCAAATCTGAATCCAATCAATATGTTGGATATCAGAAACTGATACGACTTGATTTAGTTTAAAAAAATAATAAATTATTAAAAGAAAAAGAAAATATAATAATTGAAACAAAGAAAAATTCAATATAAATAAATAATAAATAACATATTTATTATATAAATGATATATATATATAGAAATAATTGGTTTGACAACAATATTGAAAACCAATATTCAAACAATATATTGGAATTGCATTTCCTCTTGGTAAATAAGTAATTTTTATTATCTCAAAAATTAAATAATAAAAAATAAAATATAGAATTTTTTATAGATTTTATAGAAAATTTTGAAAATGCATTAATATTATATATTCTTCATATTAAACAAAATATGTTTGAAAAATAAGAATTAGTGTTAGTAAAGATAGAAATGACTAAAATACAAAGAAAAAAAATGAATTAATGTCTTAATCATACTCCATTTTCCTGGTTAAATAGATTAATGGTTCAACCAGTAAAGTCATTTGGTTGCTGACTATTATCATCATCATCATTTGATATTGCTATGTGCAACGCGCATACACTTTTACTAGTGTTACAAAATATCTGAATCCATTATAAGATGACACACGACTAAGACCCCAAACGTCTGAGTGGACTAAAGAAAAAGGACTCAAGACTCTTTTATCATCTCTAGGAACAAAAGACACTTTATGATGTTTACTTAGCTGATATAACCCATAATCTAGCTAAGTTATAGACTCCAAAGTTGGGACTTGATTTTTCAAAACATGTAGAGAAAGATGACCAAGATGACAATGTCATTGATGTGGTGTATAAGAGGAATGAAGAGCCTTCTAAGGACCATAGTCATCCAAGTAGTATAGTCCTCCAACTTCACGACTGCCACCAATTGTCTTCCCCGTCTTGAGATCCTAAAAGACACAGTATGAAGGATAAAGTGTTACTAAACAATGAAGGGTTTGAGTAAGCTTATTTATAGACAAGAGACTAAAAAAAATTTAGGAACATAAAAAACAAAGCATAAACTATAGTCAGAACCAAGAGACACATTATCGGTACCAGTAATAGCAAAAGAAGAACCATCAGCTAAGGTAACGGCTTGAGGGATAGAAGGTGGTGACAAGGATACTACATATATAAGGATCCAATCATGTGGTTTGAGGCTCCAAAATCAATTACCTAGGGTGAAGGTGAAGAATTAGAAATAAGGCAAGCAGTACATGACTTCATAAGTGTAGTAGTGGCAGAGCTAGAAGAGGCAGATTGGCGAAGCTTTTCATACTCCTCACGTGAGATAGAGATTGTGATTTTATCCTTACCAACATTGAATGCAGGAACATTTTTAGTCACACTAAGACTCCAAAAGTCAGGTTCCACCATTGATTAGTTAGCCCAGGAATATGAATGGCCATAAAAGTCATAACAAAACTTGACTATGTGACCTTCTTGTCCACAATGTGAACACTCATGAGTAAAACCACGACCACTACTACTACGATCACTACTGCCTCTTGCACCACCAACCTCTTTACCACCTCCTCATGCACCTCTGGGCCCATGGCCAAAACCCCATACGTTACCTCCACCTCTACCATGTATATTTCTACTAGGAAAATCTCGTCTGGAAACCACCATGGCTGATCTCTCTGAAGGTGGGAGATGATCACTATGTGGATTTGAGGCTCTCCTTATGCGTGAGAAAACGATTGGAGAATGATGGAAAATCACTACTCCCTAAGATTTGGGCCTACATTGGTTCAAATTCAGACCTCAACCCAAATAAAAATCTTGCCACATCTAAATGTTCTCTTTGTTATTATTGAGTCTTCAAATCAATGGATAGGGATCGATAAATATTGAACTTATTCCTTAAGCTTTTTAGAGAATCATAGTATTCTTCAACATTTTTATCCCCTTATTGAAGAGAAAAATAGTCTTGGTATAACTGATAAATTTTTATGACATGGTCCCAAATCTCCTTGGTCGTGCCTACAAACATAAGGTTCACACTAATGTGGTTCTCCATACTATTCCAAAGGGATGTCCTAATTTGGGCATTCTCTTGTACCCATTCATTGTACCCTTCTGATTCATTTTTCAATGGACCTTCCTTTATGTACTTCAACTTGCCTCTTGCAATGAGAGATACTACAACCGACTTGGCCCATGGGATATAATTAGTACCATTGAGTTTTACTATAGTTAATTGAAAGTCATGAAATTTGATTGCACAACTAATGTAAGTTTAGTATTACTATTTGATGAAGCCATGAGTGAGAAGAGATCATTGATTTGTTGCCTAGGCAAACTATCAAACAATTGGTACACAACTATTATAACACACATTTTTCTTTAGGAAAAACACAAAAAATCATCAACACTCTACTTTAGAAACACTTAGGAAAGATTGCACACTTACCACAACATGTCAACACACTACAAATCACTACAAAATCACCACACATTGAGGAGCACTTACCTCACAACTTGAGACATCACAAGGCTGCCCTCTTTGAACTGCCGAATAGAGGGCTTTTAGAAAAACACCACCAACAAACAAAACACAGCAACTTGAGGCATTAAATCCTTTTTTCCAAGAATGGTGCCGTGAAYAGTACAATCAACCTCAAGGCTCCGATACCGGGTTCCAACTTTAATAAAGAAAAGAAAATGTGAAGAAAAGGATAGAAGAAAGAAAAAGAAGAAGATAGGAAGAGAAAAGGAGGGAAGGAGAAGAAAACGAGAAAAAAAAAGGGAAGACTAGAAAGGAAAAATCTAATCCACACCTCCTTAGTGTCGACCCTGGTTGTTTTAACATTCTACTAAAACTGAAATGACTACAGTACCCTTAATTAAATTATAAAGGGAGAAAAATAATATGAAAAAGACAATAATACCCCTATTAACTAATTGTAACAAATCACAACCCTCAATGTATTGGTGAGGCCCCACCTTCAATTGAATAAAGTGATATTAGAGTCCGGTCATATAATTCATCCAAAGGCTGTGATATCATGTTTTAGCCTAAGCAAGGCATAGCGGAGTGCAACCAAATAAATGAGAAAATAAAGATTAATACAACAAGTACACCGTGGCTTTAACTTTTATTTTGAGAAAAATAGTGTAGACTTTTTTTTTTTTTTCATTTAATACAAAGGCGGCTGGCTAGTCAATCCCCGAAATTCATACATCAGTAGAAGTTGAGCTCAAGTCCCTATCACAACCAGATAGAGACCCTATCAACTAAATCAGTTGACATAGTTTGTAAAAACTCTTAGAACAAATTAATTAAAATATATGACTGCTTTTATACATCACTGGTGTAAGAGCATAGCATAGTGATATGAATCTGTTGAACAGTGAATACGCAGGATCATCAAGCCTCTCACTTGATCCCTATGGAATTTCATTCGCAATGGCACACATGACCCACCATCGTCTGTCGTCTCTGGTGTCTCAAATCACATGATGCAGCAATTGGGATCAGGTTCTTGGTAGATTGGAGTGAAAACCGGCGGCCAGACAGGCGGACATACCACCGGCACCGGTGTATCCTTTTTCTCTTCCTTCTTCTCTTCCTTCTTCTCATCAGGTCCAACGGTTAACAGATCCGCATAACCAAATTTCTTCCTTAGCGACGTTGTCAATTCAATCGAATCGATCCCCTCCCCGATCACCGCAATCTGATTCTTGTCGTCACCTTGTAAAGCTGCCGTTTCAACGCCTGCATCGCATGGGTCTCAATTAGTTATTTTAAAAACTGACAAAAAAATAATAGAATATACCCCAAATTTCAGTGGGCTATAAGCCTATAATAATCTCTCTGATGGGTCCAACTAAGGTCAACTTCTCAAAGCTGAGGCTATTTAATTAATTATTAGAATTTAGAGGCCGTTAGGGAGGGCTTCTGCCGTGATTGAGCTGCTTCTGAGAAGCTACGTATGATGGTGCTTCATGGGAAAGTTGATTTCTTTCATGGTGCTTCATGATGCTGCTGCAATCCCGGAAAATTTTCAGTTAACCGAACTCCCTGCCTAACAGCTTAATTAATCTCCATTGAAGGAGTCGACCCATTCCAAATGGTTGAATTAATGGATCAGTCCAGCTGAGTTTGAAGATTGGGCTCCTCAGTCCTCTCAGTTGTTTTCTTCACTTATTTTAATTAAGATCTCTCTCTCTCTCTCTCTCTCTCTCTCAAGTTTCTTCTGATCATTTGTAATTTTATATTGCAAAATCCATTTCTTGAAAATTACTGTTCAACGCCAAAACTATAACAATAATTATTCTAACCTACTTTTTCTTTACATTTTTTT